TCTCTCCCTCTCCTCCCTCTCTCTCTCTCTCTCCCTCTCTCTCCCCCTTTCTCCTTTCTCCCCTTTTTATCTGTGTCATTGTGTTTGTCCCTCTGGCTTCCCCTCTGTAACTGTAATCCTTCATTAATACTCCTTAAGTGCCTTGTCTGCACCAGCTCCTGCAAAATCCTTGTAAGCAGAACCAACCCCAGGCAAAACCTTAGGAGACAAAGCGTGGCCTGCACACTTCCCAAGAGCAGCCCAAGGGTGCCTAGCAGGACTCTGGGAGCGTGGGCCTGGCCCTCCACTTGTCTGGACTAGCATGGAGTTTATCAGTGTCCTGCTCACGGGTGAAATGTCCTCAAGAACCTGCATTCAGCCAGAGTAATGAATAGGCAGACACGCACAGAAGTGTAAAGACTGATAACCACCTAGTAAGTTAGGTCTGTGTAGAGGAGAAAGGAAAACTCAAGATTTTGACAGGGAACACCTTATGCAAAAAAAGAAAAAAAAAATTAAACAATATAACCAAATAGTGGGCCAGCGACATAAACTTGTCTCCAGGACAGGGAGAGAGGGGCACCATCGAACCCCCAAACCTGCCTGTTACAAACTTATAAGACATTAAAGGCAAATATCTATTTCTTCTCTTAAGAGAGAGCCTAACCTGTAATCTGCTCCCTGAAGATTTATGGACTAACTAAATGAAAGAACATCATGAAGAGATGCACATACAGCCATGAGTATTAAGAATGAGTATTAAAAAAGAAAAAAGGTGCAGTAACTACAGAACACGTTAGGGACCTTTGTTTCTAATTCAGAATATGAATGATTCCCTTTTCCCCATTTAGTAGCTCAGGAATGCAAATCCTTTTTCTTGTGGGAACACGGCCCTGTGGAAGTATGTGAGAGTGAATATATAAGGGGAGAATAAAAAAATTGAGAGAATAAAAAAATGGAGAAAAGTTTTAAAATCTAATCTCACACTCCTTTCTCAGGAAGAATTTCTCAGAAGGTAATCTTAATCTCCAGCTGATTGACACCCCAAAAATCTAAGTGCTGACCATCTATAGTACTCCCTGCAGGAGGGGCAGTGGGGAAAAAGAGGGGTGATCATCACTCACCTCTCTCTCTGTACTCCTCTGGCTCCATCATCTCCACGGCTCTGGCTCCTTCTCACAAATGGACACAGTCCAAGGGCCTCAGAATGTGGAAGCTGCACTCCAGGCAGCCGGTAGAGGCTGTTTATTTAAAGGGTTCTCCTTCCTTTGGCCTTAGCTCCACCTTCAAAGGCCCTTCCTCAGGCCTAATTTACTCCACCCCTCATCTCCCCACGTACCCCACCCCCAGTTCTTGCAGGAACAGTGCTACGTTGGCTAGTCAAGAGATCCAGGAAAATAGGCACTTCTAAATTAAACAGGGCACTTAGCAACCCAGGCCTGCAGGCAGCCTCCAGGTGGAGATGGTCAAGAGCCCTCCACTCTTTTTTGCCCTTGAATTAGACAATAGAGTCCCAACCCAGACAAAGCTCCCAGTTCAGTTGCCCAGCACAAAGCCAAGGATATGCAGAATGAGTAGCACAAATTAGTATTATTCTGTCACTGCTTCTCTATCAGCCCAGGGAGAAAGGAAAAGGCACTCAGAGAGATGCTTCCTGCTGACCATACTGGATTCAGGAGCACTTGTCATCTAACACGGTGGATTTTTTTTTTATTGTTATATAATACTATCCGTAAACAAATGATAAGCAATTAACTACTTCCCCTTATAGGATATAAACGATATTGTTGTAGGGAGATGAGAAAACAAATAAAAAGAATAAAAATTGTTTTTTGTGAGATTGCACAACTCTGACTATGCTAGAAGTACTGAATGCATATTTTAGTTTGTTTTGGTGTGGAAGCATACCTCAATAAAGCTGTTGAAATTTTGTTAAAGAAGAATGCCCTAGGAAAATAAGATCTTCAGTTTTTAAAAAATGACCTAATGGATGTGCACTCCAATGATCTTTCAAATAGTATAAATTTCTCACAGGAGTGGGCAATGAGAAAATTTTAATAGCCAAGGGATTATTGCTGATAATTACTCAGCACACAAAGTACCAAGTAAAAGTTAGACATTTTAAGTGGGAAAATACCGGTATTTTCTCTTCAAGTGTTGCTTCTGTTCTCTCTCTTCTGTTCTTCTGCAGCTCCAATTATGCCCATGTTGATTTTTTTTTACCTTATTTCATATGGGTATTATAAACTGTACATATGGCTGTATAACTACATTTTTTCCCTTAGTTTTCATTTTAACTGAATTTCAATTTAGAATTTTTTTTTCTGACTAATCATTGAGTTGTCTCTTCATCTATGTCGAATACAATATAACCCTATTTATTGATTTTTCTAATTTCAGGGGGGGTTAGTATAATTTTCATTTGGTTCTAAAAGTATTTTTCAAATTTATTACCAAATGTTTTAATTTGAGCTACTATTCTCTTGAGTATAAGCATAGCTTTCTTTTAATTTTTACTGAACAACACAAAAGAAGGCTTATATCAGGGGAAAGATACACCACATTCTCAGAGAGAAAGATTAAATGTCACAAAGATATCATTTTCCAAAGTTAACCAAAAACTTTAACACAATCCCAATATGATTTTGGGGTCTTTTTTTTTTTTTTAATTTAGTAGTGATCTTTGCAGTTCATGAATAAAATTAAGACAACTGTGAGGAAAACTCTGTAAAAGAGAAGATTTAAGAAGGTTCTGTTCCTATCAACAACATACTAAAATATATTGTGCTATCTTCATAAGTAAAACATTGACAAACTCAGAACATACAGGATCAGAGGGGGGAAATGAACAATTTAATAAATTGTGCTAGAGTAAGAGGAAACCATCTGGAAAAAAATTGTAAGTTTGGTCTATTTCTCACTATGTATATGGATATTTTTTTTCCTCAAAGGTATAATTTTTTTAAATAAAAGCATAACATTACATGATCATCACTATAATCAAGGCAATAGTTTCAGTATGGATACATCCAAATATAAAGAATTATATAAAATGTGACTTTTTTTTAAAGATTTATTTATTTATTCGTACAGAACTGGGGTACAGGCCAGAGATGAGGAGGGTGAGAGGATTCACCAGAGACAGAGTGGGGAGCAGAATAGGCAGATGGATGAAGTACACTGCTGAGGAGAGCAGCGGGCGGATCAGGAGAGGTCTGCCACACCATGTGGATGTCCTCCGGGGCAGGCGAGGATCGAACTCATGCAGAAGTCGCTTAAGTTTC